CCCCAAAACCCCAAAACCCCGGTAAAGTATGATTTGCTATTTTTAGGTAATTCAACTTTTTTAATTAATTTGCTTTAATATAATAATTACTTTAATAAAAGATAAATAAACCCTTTAATAATTTGTCAGCTTTCAAGAGTCCTTGTAAAATTAACAAATGAAAGATGTCCTTTTAAGTTAGAACTCATTTTTTATTAAAGAGTTGAAACTTTTTTATCATATATCAATAAAAACTCTCTTAGTTCTAATTACATTAAGGTCTCTCAAAAACTTAGACTTAATTAATGGACTATCAAATCCTTAATTACCTTTGTTATACATGTTTATTTAACTAATTGGACCATCATCTCCATCTGTTATCAATTCTGATGAATCACCAAAAGCAGAGAGATTTTCAGAATTTGAAATTACTAACTCAATTTTTTTATACTTGTTTTTTGCATTTTGTAATTATTGATCAGTAATTGCATGCGATTCAAAGTCAAGGCTATATTTTTGTTAAATAGATTCTAATAATGGACTAGGAGAATTGTTGCCCCTTTTTTATTTACTAAATAAGCTTTTCTTGAAATTGTTAGGTGTACTACATTTTAATCGAGTAACATTTTTCTTTTTTCTAAAAATTGCATGCTACTATTTTTACTTTAATATTGGGGATATGTCAAAATCATTAGGTTCAATTTCAGAAAAATTAAGTCGTAGTATATCATTCTGTGAGCTTTTAATACAAGAGTTGTAATATTGTCCACAAAATTATTATTCTTCTCTTGCTAGATGTAAAACCAATAGCTTTATCTTTTTATAAGGCAACTTGATTTAATTACTGCATATTTTTATTCTTTAGATATATGAACATTTCTTTAGTTGTGCGACTTATCTTTTTGAAAATTGGTTTCAAAGTTCGGTCTAAATTATAAAGTTGTTAACTCTACTTATCTTAATCCCCATTACTTTTATTATCTTCTTAGTTGTTAACTTAACTCCCTTGAGAATTTGATTGATTAACATTTGACTAATAAGACTCGATTACTTTATTATATTAAATGCTATCTCGACTATTTTTTGAATCATCTCTTTACTTGAAAATGGAGATTTAACTTATTGATGTTTAAGCATTCAGATTGCAACTTCTTTTATTTTTACTATGTTTTTAAGTTTTACTCCATTTTTAATGAGAGAAACTAGAATGTTCGAGATCATCAAAATTTTTTCCAATTTTATCTGCTTTTTCTTAAATGTATGACCCAAGATTTTCTGTGTAAATGTGAGATTTCTAAAGCAGGATTTGTTAATGTATTATTTTATTTATATTCAATCCATACTCAATGGCTTGGTGGTCATCTCTAAACCATTAATGACTCAAAGCTTGTTTACAATCTATTCTCTTCTAAGGATCAGTATTTAATAACCTTAATATTAAGTCCTAGCAAATAGCTGGCATATGCTTAATCTTAGTAGGAACATGACTTAAGTCGCATTTCTAATTTATTATTACTAGTTAATCAGAGTCTACTAAATCGAAAAGATATTATCCAGTACACAGATTATACATAATAGACCCTAAACTAAACATATCAGCTTTCAAGGTTAACTCCTCTCCTCTAAGTATTTCTGGAGCTATATATGTAGGTGTCCCACATTTTTTAAATATCTTTTCACTCTATTTCAACGAGACTGCTAATCCGAAATCTGCAATTTTTATTTCATATTTACCGAATTCATTTGTGTTAAGCAAGATATTATCCAACTTGAGATCTCTATGAACGATATTTAGTTAATGAATGAAGTGCATACCAAGCAACAATTATTCCATTATTGATTTAATGTCACAATCTTAAACATTGTTACTTTTTTCGATGAAACTTGAAAGATTTCCACCATTCATATAATCTAGTAATAGATATAACTTTCTTGGAGTCTCATATACTTTATGCAACTTCAATGAACTTGTACATTAAGATAAAGCACGATGAGCACTTATCTCATCTTTTATTTATTCTATGCACTATTTACCAACAATTTTATTCTTCCTCATAACCTTCAATGCGAAATATTTATTTTAAGTTTTGATTTTTTAGGAAAAAGACTCATCATTTCTTTCTACTTTAAATACTACTGCATTTGCACCGAACCCTAATTTTTAGACCATTTTAATATTCTTAGGTTGATCTAATCTTACTACATAGTTATTTAATATTCTTATCCAACTTCTAAAGTCTTTTTATTCCAGTCCATTAATCAAGTAAAAAAAGCCACCTCTTTATAAGCTGATTGATTCAATTAACTTTTAATCCTATTCATATTTTTCAACTCTCATATAGCAGAAATTCAAATCCAAAATGTTTTTACTATGATAGGTCTTATGGATCTCATTTGCTTTCAACGATGACTTAAATTATATAAGTATTCCTTAACTGATCCCAAACAATGCTCTCTTATTATAAGAATTAGACTAGCTCTGAAGTCGAAATACAGAGCTAATTTCACAATTATTCTAAGAAAGCTAACTATATTCGCTTCCAAATACACTAGAAATCTTAAAAGGTGTAGTAATAATTTGTTCGAAAATCTAAGAATTGTCATTTTTCTATTTGATATTGACCATAGCTCAAAGTTTTTTATTTGATGAATAGTAAAATTTATAGATTATTAATTAGATAGTAGTTTAGCATTAATTTATCAATTTTTAAACCAAATATTTCTCAAACATTTTTTAACTCTTTCTTACGGGGTTTTGGGGTTTTGGGGG